TTGGGCTAGATGGGGGTGTCCTCTGTAAAAAAGGAGACCAGGCATCTTTAGAAGACAGCCAGACAACTGAATATGGATCCAGATATGATCCTAGTCAACCAGTTTGCAGCATTCCCCCATTCTCCAAAGAGAAGAGCAACGTGTCTGTACTTTCGTCTTTGGCCTAGACCAGAAATGGACAAATGGTGGCTGGAGGGAGGTTGACCTCATGTTGTCTAAGAGCTGAAAGGCCACAGTGAGTGACATGTTGACACAAAACAAATACAATCCCCTATTAGGTAGGCTTTTTTTTAAGTTGGAGGGGAGAAAGGGTTGGTGAGATTCTTTGCTTTTATTTTTAAATGTATTAAGTGTATTTCAGGGCATTTACAATCCTTTTTTTGGGGGGTGATTCTCACAAAAAATGGTGGCGTAAGTATGCCATGGATAGTCAACCGCACCTTGGAGAACTGTGAACAATTTGGGCACCACATTTTCAGAAGAATATTGACAAGTTAGCAATGGTTCAGTTGGGGACAAAGAAGATGGTCTGTGTCTGCATGTCTGAGGACTTGCCCAGTGAGGACAGGCTGAAGGAACATGGGATGTTCAGCCTGGAGAAAAGATTTAGGGAAGACATGATAGCCAGGTCAGGAACATAAAATGAAACTGCAGGGAAGATGGTCAGGAACCATTTTCCAGGGCCACAGAAACTAGAACCAGAAATACTGTGGTGAATATAAATTGCAGATACCTAGATTTCATTTACATATAAGGAAAACTGGCTGACAGGAAATTCTGTACAGCAGCGAACAATCTACTTATGGAGGTTGGAGGTTCTCCATCTCCAAGAAAAGACTGGACAGCTACTTCTCATGGATGGTTGAAGTTTTCCTGCACATTTCAGAGGATTGGATTAGATCTTATATGAGAATATAAGTATTGTTCTCAGCTATGTTCCAAAATTTCCTGGCTGAAAACCAGAGAGAAACAGGCCCCATTGCTTATGATAACCCATGTTGGATTCTGCTGTCCACTTTTGCAGGACTTCTCTCAACTCTGACCCCATGTTCCAGTTTCCAGTGTGTGGTGTGATCATGGATCTTCCCTTCTGGATATAATTCAATCCAAGTGGAAGAGATCTTCATGTTCTATCTTTGGATGACAAGCCAACTGGAACAAGGCAAACCTCGTGTATGAAAGCACCCAGCATTCCCTTCTCAGTCCTCTAACCCTTCCCTCACCTTGTGGATTTGAAAGGATTAGCAGAGCTGATCTGGCGTCTTTCTGCAGGGCTCGGTGGAAACAGCTCGACTGTGAGTTGCTCTGAACCAAGAGCTGTGTTGTCTAGACAATAATTATAGCTCTGCCTCGTTGCAAAGTGCCCCTGGCTTATGGCATGACTTTGTTCAGAGTCATCAAAGTTGCCATCAGCTAAACGGGTAACGGCTGCCTTGAGCAAGAGCCCACAGGAGTGTATGGCAGATGTCTTTGCCAGAGAAGAGACCAGCTGAGGGTGAATTGGCCAAAGCTTGGGTGGTTGGATGAAGTTTGATGTTTTCGTGCTTTTGGGTAGAACGGATGAGTGACAAGCTGGCCTAGCTTTATCCAGCCCAAAGGCACAGGACCAGGAGAAAAATGAATTTTGACTTGCGTTGTTTGTACTGAAACTAAATTCAAATGAAGTAGATTTGAGGGGATTGCTTAGTGGACACCCATGGAGTCTTCTCTCCCTTTTGGTCATGTTACAAAGAAATGTTTGGTGAATAGCTTTTGTTGGTCTCTGGTGCTGCAGCTCTGAGAACTCTTGCATAGGAAGAATCTCAATTTGCAAAGCAAAGTAGAAAATCTGTTGAAAATCATCTGTTGAAATGTGCATCAAAGACAGAGCAGCCCACCTTTCATCCAGAAGGTTCCAGAATCAATGCTGGACATCACTACATGGGGCTGGAAATAGGCCTGCTCCAGCCAGAGCTGATATGACTGCCTTTGCATTTATCTACAAATATGCAAGTTGAGCAGAGCTGGTGGAAGGGCTTAAGCACACTGCTGAAGTTTATTTTCCCACATCAGATCATCAGACAGAAAAATGAACCCTTCTCAGAATGATGTCCATTTCTCAGACTGGCCTGCCCCAAAGGGCTGAGAACTTTGGAGATCTGAATTCAGCAGGAACCCTTGTTAGAAAATGCACTCCTGAGTAAATGCAGAATGCTAAAGGCTACTGAGTAATGAAGAAGCAGAAGGTCCTATTAAAGAGAAAAATGTTTATATTTGTCCTGGATGCAGAATACAGAGGATAGGAAAGTCTCTGTTCTACCTAAGCCATATCTGAGAGAGAGAGAGAGAAAAAAGCTTGCTTGCCCCTTAAATGCCAAGACTCATTTTATTAATAGGCCAGATAAGAGACAGTGTGCAAAGTGTGTAATAACCCTTCCCTTTCAAGTTAGCCACTCCAGGCATCTGATGAAGGGATTGGTAACTCACAAGAGGTTGTGCCTTTTAATACAACTTGTTAATCTGAAAAGGTGCCCCCAGACATTTCTCTCTTTCTCTCTCCCCCCTCCCTCCAGTGTGCGCTGGTGGTCAAATGCTCCTTGGTGCAAAGAATTCTTGTGTTCTCCAGCTGCTGTCTCAAAAGAAGAATCATCTGTGGCTCATTTCATAGATGACTTCATCCTAAATTGGTTCAGTTGGGAGAAAAGACTGCACAATGGCCATGTCAGGTACCTCTTTGCCACTCCGAAAAGTTAAAGAGCAACACCTAGAAATTAATTTCCATGGAAACCTAACTTTTGTGATTCCCCAAACAGAGGTACTAGTTGCCTTATCCAGGACTATTAAAGAAGTTTCCAAGAGTATTCTTGCTGTTTTAAGTCAAATGATCTTATCTTGTTAATTAACTATTTTGGCTTATAATTTTGTGTGTGTGTGTGTGCGCCTTTGAGTCAGTCTTGGGTCTGGTGACAGCCTGGACGGATTTCTGCAGTTTTCTTGGCAAGCATTTGGAAGTGGTTTGCCAGTGTCTTCTTCCCAGGTCTGAGAGAGATGGACTGGCCCAAGGTCACCCAACTGGCTTTGTGCCTAAGGCAGGACTAGAACTCGTGGTCTCCTACATTCTAGCCCAGAGCCTTTAACCACTACACCAGACTGGTTCTCATAATTGATTTAAACAAATGTTTTTGCATGACATTTGAGGATATAGTCTCATTTGAGCTGGTTCAACCCCTTGTGATTTACAAGGACACATCCATGAAGTTTTCATGTCAACATACGGAAGTGATTTGTCATTATCCTCTTGGAAGCTTTTAATCTTCAGTCTAGTCCAGTCTTTCTCAACCTTGGCAACTTTAAGGTATGTGGACTTCAACTCCCTTCGAAACACCATTAGGGTGGGGGGATGTTCAAATGTTTGGGGGGGGAACCTCATTCATTCCCAATAGATGAAAAAAACTGATTAGTAAACTGTACAAAATGGAGAATCTTGAAGTTCAGTGTTAAGCTCAAATAAAGTTGATTCAAGAATATATACATTTCAGTTGAAATAAATCTTTAATATAAGCGCTGTATACAAACATACAATTAATGGACTCAATCAGCTGAACAAAATAAATCAAACAAAGGAATCCATCCAGCTTTAAAAGACTCCATTAAGACTTTGCTCCACTAAGAATTCTCTGATGTTTTGATTTCCACCACCTTCAGTGATATGGCATAACAGCGATCAAATTCTAATGTATATTAGTAGCTACATTTTCTGAGTTTGTGTCTGCATTAAACCTTGGTGTGCAAGCCCCTTACTGCATCCTCATAATTTAATAGTGGTTGAGATACAACAATGCCTGCAACCTCCCCATGGTTTCCCATCCCACGGATGGGTCATTTTTTCCTCCTTTCACAAAAAGAATATTGGGAAGGTAGAAAAGAAAAAGTAGGTCTACTGTATCTTTTGATCTAAGCAGGGTTAAACCTGGTTAGCACTTGGGTGGGAATCCACTAAACAACTCCAGGACTGCAAGCTAGGCTGGAAAGCTGAAAAACTTCCTGTAGAACAGTGTTTCTGGAAGCATCTTTACTCAGTGAAGCTACAAATGGTCCTCCATGGAGGAAGAAACACTGAAATCTCCCTGCAATCTAACTGGAGGCAAAAAAGTACAAGCTGTGCTCTGCAGTTGCCAACGGCAACAAGCCAGATAGGATGGGATGGTCCTGTGATATTCTTTATTTGACCCAGCATCTGGTCCCCCGAGATGAATGCTTCTATACAGGATTTTACACTCCACTATATTGGCTGATGTTCATAGTTATCTAGCTATCATGGTTAGTTCTCTGTGACCAATGCCACCTATAAAATCAGAGCCATCTATAAGATAAGCCTAACAGGTCCACCTATTAGAAAAAGTACAAGAAACTGTTTAGGCTTACTATAGTGAATGGTGAGGTTAAATTGCCTTAAAGGAAGAATAGCTCATCTCTGTCCAGTTTAGGAACTATAATTGTTGGAATGAATTAAGGAATGTTGAATAAATAATTGACAGTGAGTGCTACAAAGCTGTAATCTAGGGCTTTTTGGAAGATGTTTAGTCACCTGTTAATTCTGAACCAGTTTGCACTTGTAGTGAAAAGACTGTATTAGTGCCAATGATATCATATCACTTTGTTATGTAGTTGTTCAGATTATTCTTCTAGGATGTGCAGACTTCAGTTCTGCAAGGATCCACATGCTGGAATCAGGTTCCTAGTCCATTCTGAGGTTGGCCAAGCATCAGTTCTCAATTATCATTGTTAACTTATTTGAAATAGGCAGCCATACAAATTGAATAAATAAATAAACTATGAAACTTCAAGGGCATTAGAATTCTTGACAGGACAAAAAGTATAGCTTTCTGAAAATGCTGAAAGTAAGATATAAACTATCATCCAAGAATTCCTTCCTGGTTAAGATAAAGAAAGGAACACAGCCAATGGTGACCTCTGACCATATTCTCTCAAACAGCAACAGAGTCTTAGGAAAAAAAGAACTAAAAATTCTCATAGTGATGTATAAAGTAAGTTTGGTCCCTCTTGTTGATTTTCTGACATGCTTTCTCCACATTCTTTGTCATGCCAGGTGGGCCACAGCTGAAAACACCAATCTTCCGTACCTGAAAACAAGAACCAAAAAACTGCTCAGAATCAGAGAGATGCAAAAAAAAGAGGGGGGGGGAAATAATTTAACTCTCATCTGGCTCTAACATTTACAGCATTGTTTTAAAGCAACTTTAAGATGTGTGGACTTCAACTCCAGGAATTCCCTAGGCAGCATGATGGCTAGGGAATTCTGGGAGTTGAAGTCCACTCATCTTAAAGTTGCCAAGTGTGAAAAACACTGATCTAGAGGAATAAGATGGACAAGAAACCTTGGGGGAAATGAAACATTTGTCCAAAGTTCCCATCACATTTCTCATCTGACTTAAGTTGTAACTAGTTGTAAAGAGATGTAAAGATTCCCAAGGGCCTTCTCCTTCCTGCAATGTGTGTCAAATAATTTGAGCTGGGACAAGGCACCTTTGGGGGCTCCTCAAGAAGCACACCTACATAGCTGAGATTCCCTCTGTTCCATGCAAACATGTCTCTGCCTGCAATAGAACATCACTGAATGCACAGAAGTACAGTCTTCACCTCCTTCCCCAACCTGCAAAGGCTATCACTGACCTCAGGATGAACCTCTTGCAATGAGCAGAAAAAGGGGACAAATGGCGGTCGTCCAAAGTGGGTGATGGAACGCAGGCCTGTGAACAAGCTCCGGTTGAGGACCTTCTGGAAGTGACGTTCACAGATGTACTAGAAAGAGATCAATCAATCATCAGGACAGAGTTGTTGGGGATCTGGAGGAGAAGGAGCCTCTGTTCCACCAAGGAAGCAGCCACTAATCCAGTCACCCTGAAGTTTTGATTCTCTGTGTGGAACCAGACTCATGGGTACAGTCAGAAATGTTGGCCCCAAACTGAAAATGAGGGGACCGAGGATGAAAGGGAATGACTTGCTTAAAGGCACTCAATAATTTCATAGTCAAGATCAAGATGAGTTGGAGGCTTCCTGATTTGCCCAACCCTATCCCACCTTCATTTCTTAATTGCACAATTTTTAATTGTGTATACCCAATTCCTTTGGACTCATTGAAGAACTGGCAGATGCTCTTGGATAAGACTCAGTCACTAATAGCACTTCAAGTTAACAGATGAGAACGTAACCTCTTGAATATTATTTCCTGAAGGAGCCTAGATCTAGGGTCCTGAGTAAGCTGCATGTGGGGACTTACTAGCATGGTGGTGCGCAGGTCAAACTTCTCAGCCAGCTGGGTGATGTAGATGTGCACAGAGACCAAGTCACGTTGATCATTCTCCTCCACTTCTCGAATAATGTCAGCCACCCACTCAAACTGCCGCTGTGTCCGGGTCACCCAGATGAAGTAGATCTGGGAAGAATGAGAAAAAGGCTACAATGATTGCCAAAAGCTCTTTGTGCCTATAATGCCTATAATTTATCAATAGTGGAGTTGTTGTTCTTCCCAGGTTTTGTATCAGAATGTGAATTCTATTTTTTTAAAAAATCCAATGAAAATTTATACTCATTTTTCACACATATTCCTAATATGCCCCCCTACGTATATCATTTTGTCCACTTTGTAGACTTTTTGCAAACAATTGTCTCTAAGTTCTGCATGTTGTTTTAACATTAAATCTTATTTTGGAGTATGCTCTTTCCCCTAATGTGTGCTCTTTTGTATTTTTTAAAAAAATGGAGAGTTGCCTTATAGAAAAGTGGAAATATCATATGATAAGTACATTTTAGTTCAGATGTATGAGCCAGCAAAAGTCTTTCCCCATCTGTAGGTGTCAGGGATCTGAAACTAAGTACTCATAGATACCTCCACTATTTGCCTCAAGTAATGCAGTTCATTCTTAGAGAAGTCCTATCACCTGACATTATACCTACTGACACAATGGCAGATGAGTGATATAGCAGCCCAGCCATACCTCTGTTCTTCCAAACTCACCTTCTTGCACAGGATCCTGGAGCCAACTGAGGACTTGAAGACAAGGTCTTTAAGGATGGAGGCAAAGGGTGTCACTCCAATGCCACCACCCACCAGGACTGACACTTCAAATTTGTTCCATTCCTGGTGTCCCTCTCCAAATGGACCATCAAGATAGAGCTACAAAGAACCAAGAGTAAAGAATGATATTTGTTAGCTTGGACAATGGAGTTCAAATGGTTTCCACTGAGCTTGAATAGCAAGGGGTGAATTCTCCCCTATACATATATTTTTAAAGTAGTTACAGGGTTGGTGGAAAGGAAAGCAATGTCAATGTTGGAACCAGAAAAGTAATCTTATTCTTTAACATGTTCATCAGCCATATTTGTCTGCCGTGCATCCTCTACTAAAATCTGCACCAGGGAAAAGCAAAGCAAAGCAAAACCCAGCCTTACCTTGGGATATTTGCCAATTTCTGCTATGCTTTCTGGGGAGTAGAGTTCCCGCAGTCGAGTTGTCCAAGGTCCAGCTGCTCGGATGTGCAGACTTAGCAGGTCTTCATGGGGAGCAGATGTCAGAGTGAAAGGATGGTACTCAGTGGTCCCCAGGGACAAACATGCAATCCGCACCCATTGTCCAGACCTGTAGTCAAAGTCCTGGGGTCTCTGGAACTGGAGGTAGGTGACCCCTGAACCAAGGAAAAAGGACTTCCTAAGTGTTTGCTATGAAAGATCAAGCCAGCAATGCTATCTACAACTATCTTTGTACTAGCAAGTTACACATATGGCAGACTAGAGCTAGAGGGTTATCTTCAAGAAGGGACAGGCAGCAAAGACTGTGTTGGACCACCCAGATACTTTTCCAGGCCATACATGGCCTACAGGTCTTAGTAAGTCCCTTTAGATCAGCTTTCCTCAATGGGCATCCTTTAGATGCATGACCTTCAACTTCCATAATCCCCCAGGCTGCAGGACCATTCATAAGACTTCTGGAAGTTGAAGTCCACATGCTGGGAGGGTGCTCAGGTGGAAGATATTCTCCTTGATGCAGGGTGCAGGAGAAAGGAACTTGCAGGTAGCAATATTACCTGAAGGGAGGAGTTCAGCCTTAATGACGCTGATTTCTACCTTCTTCCTGCTAAGGCTGATGAGTTTGTCTGCTCCATAGATAAGAGCTGGGATAATGAAGTAAATATGAAAGCGGGGCTGTTGGATCAGAGCGTAGCTGCCATGGATGATAACCTGGAAATATATTACACATCAGTTTAGTCCATTATAATGAACAGAAAAGGAAAGTTCTTCTCTGATTGCAAAGACAAAGAGTGAAAGCATCTAAAGATAACATTCAGTTTGGAAGTCCTCAGGATCACATAAACCTTCTTCAAATTAAACTATATCAGTAGTCCCTCCAAAATGAATAGCAGCAACAACTCTTTCAGTTTCAATTCTTTTTCATCTCTATCTGGAGATAAGGCTCCTTTTGTATGCAAAACAGAAAGAGTTAAAGAATAAGATACAATACAATACAATACAATAAATACAATCCACTTCTCAAACACACCTTTGCAAACAGAGTAAATGGACCATTAAATCTGACTCAATTCTAATTTGGTTAACCAAGTCAGAGAGCAAAGGTTCATTGATCCTCAAAACTTCCTTCATCTGTGGACTATTCATATTTCTGAATTTTCACGAGCTTTAAGTATCATTTACCAGAATGTAGAGAACCACATAGAGATGATGGGTGATCCAGAATCCTTGGAAGCTGATTCGCCGGAAGTAGTGAGTGGCAAAGACATACATGATAGCGAGGATGACAAGTAATAGCACTCCAGTCATGCCTACAGAAGACCAGGAGGGGACAAGGGAACATCAACTGAAGTAAGAGAGCACATTATGTTGTCTTACTTCACCATTATCTTCATCTACTTCAGAGGTGGGCAACCTGAAGCCATAGCTTTCCATAGGGGGCAAGTGATGACACAGCATTGTGCAAATGACAGAAATACATAGTTTGTATCAGTTGTGCCATGACATCCTGCTACTTGTGTTACCCTCACGGCATAATCATAGCTTTTAACAGATGCCAGTGCCTGAAGTCCCAAAGTTCCATGCAACCCAATGTTATTCTTCAGAGCTGAGATAAGGACACCCTCAAAAGTTAATGTAAGCCCTAAAATGGGCTTAATGGACCAAACAGACAAAGAAAACACACAGTTCACACCCCCATCCTATCTCAGAGGGGGAAAAAAACCTTGCAAATTCAGCTTTAGACCACATAAATAATTTGGGTCTGGCCACTTGCATTATATCCCAGATCTTTATCAACCCCCCTCCCCCAAATGTTAACTGCAGTCTGGCCACCAAAAGCCTTTGCTATTTGATTCTTACCTGGTATTGTCTCAAAAAACCACCAGTAGTATTTGGGAGGAAATTGTGATCTGGAAATGAAAACACAACAGTGGTAGTTCTTAATAGAACAAGCCACGGTGTAACCTGGTTCATACCTTGTGCTAAACTGTAGTTGGTTTAACGATGCGTTTCTGAATAATGCAAATTGGCTGAATTCATCCAATCCACTACACCCAATCAAACTAATCCTATTAAGGCTTACACAATGCTTGAACCTAATCTCTATTATGTCTTGCTTTCCCTAGACTGAAATGGTTCTGTGTTAGATATTTCCTCCTTGCTATCTAGATCAGAAACAGTTAATCTAAGGAATAAGAATCCAAGAAATCTGGTTGGCTGTATTTATTAGGAGTAAAGTAAAAAAAATTACTACCCAAGAATTCCAGTAAGTATTCTACTTTCAAACAAGACACTTATATATAGATAACGTTAGGGCAGCAGAATTCTTGCCTTTGTTCTTTCTACATATAGGATCAGACCCCTGCTTTTTTTGTGAATGGTGGAGTCTTTTCTGTTTATAACTGTCAGCCCTCTTATCAAGAAGAGAAATAATTCTCACACTGAGCTTGTAAGTCAACACACATTGATTCCACATTCAGGACCTTGGACCTTCTCTATGTGTAGAGTTTAACTCCTAGAATTCTTAGGGATGACCACAGTATCTGGGGAATTCTGGGAGCTGAATTTACACAGTTGGGAAAAGCTCAGTTCCATCAAAGAAATGCTGAGTTTTCCTTACTGATAGGGCACAACTAGTTCCAAACTACACAGATGTCTGAAATTAAGTGTTTCCATTCTTTTCCAGCCCCCTGGAACTAGGCTATGCAAACTAATTCCTTTTTTTTTTTGCATTCTTAGGTTCATAAAGGGGAGAGAACATATCTACTCACCCATCATTCGTAAATACATGAGAGAAGAGACAGGACAAGATGCTGAGAGGTGTCACAGAAAAGATGTAGACATTCACAACATGGCCCAAAGTATGTAAAACTACAGGAAACACAAGACAGCGAGGTTAGATATCCGTGTCACTAAATTTAACTGCAATTTCAAATCTCTTACCCCTATCCAAATCCCCAGCCATGGAACTATGGGCCCTATAAAGCTATGAAAAGATTATTATGCCTAACAATAAAAAAATGAAAGATCAGTGTAATGAAATTGTTAGGATGCAAGCAATTAAATGTTTATGTCTCTTAACTGGGCAAAGTTCGAGTGTAACAAAACATACAAACACTCCACACCCATATTTGTATTTTTGTTACAGTTGTAATTTCCTTGATAAAAATGCTTAGAGGCTAGTCAACAGTGATTAGTGAGAGGGAGTGTAAGTTATTCTTTCTCAGCCCAGATTGCTAGACCATCCCCTAAATTGAAAGACCAGATTTTTCTGGAGTTGATTTCCACTGCTATTGTCAATTATTTTTCTTACACTTTTCTGGGTTGTGCATTTTCAAAATTCATGCAGCTGCAGTTGTGAGAAATTAGAGAGGAACTGATTTTTTAAAAGTTTCATCTGCATCATATTGAACAAAGAGTGCCTAGAGTTTCTAATTTCAACAATTCCTACCACTCCACTCCAAGCCAGCTCTAATTGCCTGCTTGTACCACATGCCATTATGAACCATCACAATGTTCTAATTTGACTATTCAAAGATTCAATCTGAAGAGTCTGCTTAAAGGTAATTTGATTCAATCAATCCTTCCAATAAAATCTCTGAACTGAGTTTCTGAATCAGTTTGATGCACTGAATTGAACCAAACGTTCCTGAATTGATCTGACAAATTGATACCCAGATGCCCCTTTTCTAACTACTATAAACAGTTTGTTCAAATTGAGTCAGGGATTACAATAAGATTGTAATTATCTGTTGAAAAGAAAGTCAGGTGTCATTTATATATTTCTTAACTTTAGTTCTCTTTTTCTTTTCTTGCACGTTTTTCCTCTCTTTTATTGGTGTTTTATTATATGAAAACTTAATAAATAGAAATAAAAAAATCCCAAACTGAGTCAAGCATTTGACTCAAACGGAATGATTTCATTTGATTATTCAGAATGACTTGAATCATCGCATCAAATCAATGATTCAAGTTAATTCAATTCATCAAGTGGGATTTGGAGTCATTTCCATACTCTGACTCTACTGTGATTGCTTTGGACAGGTGCAAGGGTTGTAAATGGGCTATTTTTGAACATGTAGTATGTCTACATTGTCCCTCCTCCCCCAAATCTACCTGAAAAGATCAAAGCTCCTGTTGCAATCCATCGATGGAAATCCACAGCAGAGTCAAAGGGGATGTAGCGATTGAAGAAAGTTTCTCGTAGGAATGTGATGAGGTTTCGGCACATGGTAAGTAAGATGAAGGAGTACATGAAGGAGATGCTGGCACCAGCCCCCCGAGAGATCATGATGCCCACAAAGGTGGTGTCAGCAATGCCAGTGGGTGGTGATGCAAATCCATAGTCTGTAAGCCAAATGGATTGAGTGAGTTCCAGAAGCTGGACTTGTGACAAAGCCTCTAATAACTGGGATTACACCACTTTTTTCCTGGGCTGAGACTTGTTTGTGTCCTTCAGGTGGTGTCCAGCAGGCCAGGCCATGCTCCAAAAAGGAGGTAGACTCAGAATAAAGAGGGGAGTGGGAGCAGGTTCCAACCCAATTGGATCCAATGCCATGCCCCTTTCAATTGGAGGAATGTGAAATTAAATGGAGGAGGCACCATTCATGGGATTCCTCCCCATGTCCACCACCTCTGCCCCATAAAAATGACCATCCAGCAGATGCTTTGGGACAAGCTCTGGGGTCCTCATCCAAAGCTTTGGAAGAAGTCCACCCACAGGCCCGCAGCCACAAGATATGCCACTGTGCCTTCCATAACGACATCTCATCTCCAGCATGCTGAGATGATAAACACGCTTGCATGCCCTACAAGTAGCATGGCAGTGCAATACAATCTAAAGGGGTCAAAGGCACTAGGGAACACATAGCTATGAGTACAGATTTGGAGTTCACTTCCAGATCTCTACCTATGTGTCCCATGGGGAGGGGTTAGGTTACTATAAGATTGCAAGGAGGATACTCAGCCTTTTCTTGTTCAACAGCCTTGCCACTGAAGTTATGACTCAGCCCCTGTAGAACTGAGTCATTAAAGCAGTCACTATGAAAGCAATACAATACCAGGAAGTTTGGCAACCAACTTCCCTCATCGACCATTAGTACAGCTCTACTTGCAGCGAGAGTGTCTTGCTTTACACCGGCGTTAGTCTGTGCTGCAAGGAGATACGCACGTGGTACGCTTAGTGGTGGCTGCCACTGGTCGCCCGCCCCGGAGACGGGCCTCTCTCCTTCCTCACTGCATGAGGATGCAGAGTTCTGAATCAAGTTGGCTGCACCAGCATTTGAGCCGAGCAGCCATTTCGGTGGTGCTAGGTAGGCTGGTAACTCACAGTATGCCCTTTCTACAAAGACGCCAGCAGTGATGGCTGAGAATATCACCACACAGATAATGTGGCGCCGGTAGTTCTCAATGAACCGCTTGAACTGCTGGACCTTCTGGTGGACTTTGCTCCTCTGGTACCGCTCCCTCCGTGCTTCTGTGTAGAGATGAGGTTCTGGGAATGACAATCTGGAATAGGGGAAGTCATAGGTCAGGAGAACTTTTGCTACAAGGTGAAGACCTTTCTTTTTTTAAAAAAAAAATCTGCTCTACAACACCCCAAAAAGATTCCTGGGAAAGCTTCTGAGATCCATAATAGCAGAATTATTGTGTACAAAAATACATATGGCCCAAGCCAAAGCATATACCACCTGTACATTCATGTGGCATACGTGGAGCAAGGCAGGTTCTGATTGATGGCTAAGATACGTTTCCTAGCAGAAAAGGCTGTTCAGCAGTGGAACTCTGGGGGATAAAGTGGGGTCCCCTTCACTGGAGGTGTGCAACCACAGGTTGACAGCCATGTATTGCTGATCCTCTAATTTGGACACTGGCGCCAAGCAGGGAAACACTCAGTGGCTCCTTCTGACCCAACAATTTTTATCAATGCCAAAATGGCTGTCTTTTGGCATCTGGTTGTCCATGAGGTTAATACCATGTAGGAAGGAAGCTGATCTAAGTGTGCTTACCTCACCCTTTCCTGTCACCCTCCATGTGTTAAAAGGCAAGATCCCACAGGGGTGCCATCCTGGTATACTCATATGGGATTCCTCAATATTTCAGTGAGTGAGCCATCTTCAGGCATAGGGGGATCTACTTTGCTTTTTGCTAGAACCCTGAAACTAACATCCGGACCTCAAAAGAACCCCCAGACAAACCTTTGGAACAGGGAACAAGGGTATTTTTGAGCACATACAAACCCTAAGGATTTACCCACTTGGTTTTGTTTTCCCCATAAACTTTCTTCTGGTATACTCTGATAATTTTTTTTTCACCATAGCAACTTAAGCTGGTTTGGAGAAGCAAATCCAGTTGCTTCTACCCTAGTATTCTACACCTCTGGTTTTTAATTCGGGGTGGAATATCCAGAGGTGTTTGAGCCTCTTGAGGACATCTCTGAAGCCTGCATTTCCACTGCTCTCACGCCAATGACGTAGCTCTCGTGGGCTTTAATGATATATTAATTAAAAGTTTTAAGAACAATAATAACTACAACGAACTAATTTAGAACAGAAAAAGTGAAAAAGGAAGAAATACCATAAAAAGCTGAAAGTGCAATAAGAAATGAAAGTAGAAGAATATATACCCAAACATAAACTCTACACAGATATTATTTCATTTCTACTTTTATGTGCCTAATAAGATCCAGTAGTTCACTGGAGCCTCCACCCTAAACTAGGAGTGGAGTATTATTATTATATTAGGAGAACGCTTATTAGGAGAATGCTGTGCAGTTAAGATGGACAGTTCATCCTTCAAGTTCAGAATGAGTACCTTTGATTCATAATGCACTTCACATGCTTACTTTTTGCAGGGCCTTTTCCGCAAGTCTTGCCCGACTCCCTCGCCAGGTAGCCAGTCTCCACCCTGAATCAGGGGATCCTCCCGGTTCAGGAATAAACTGTAAGGGAGCAGATCATCATCTTTTACAGAGAACACTCAGTCTGTGATCTTGGAAGCAAGCAAGATGTCCTGAGGGTTTGATCGTACCCAACTCTAAAAATTATAATGAAAAACGCCAGCCAGCCCTTTCTTTGGGATGTTTTGGCTTTAAACGTTCTAGGTCAGTGTTGTCCAAACTTGGCCACTTTAAGATGAGTGGACTTCAACTCCCAGAA